TATTAGAATTAGATTAAAGTAACATGCCGAATAACGATTATCGGAGAAGTTGAACAGCAAGAATCAGTATAATGTTTGTAAATTTTGCAGGACAAGTTTCGATGGTTTATATACAGAACTATCTTCTGGAATAGAAAAGGAAATAAATCAAGTTACTGGTGCCATCTATTGATCAAAGAAGAAAACTAAAACATAATTTCTTCAAAGGCTGGTGATAAAAATCGATTGGAATTAGGATTTTTAACTAAAACAGAAAGTTTTTTTTTTTTTTTTTTTTTTTTTTTTTTTTTTTTTTTTGTGAAATACCTCTAGAAAATTTAATTCACGAATGAAGATTTTTTAAAAAATAATTTTGGCTGCAGAAAAACAGAAAATGTGATTTTCTGACCAGCAGTGCTGGGCAACAGAGGATTTCTGTGTTTTCTTTTTCCTAACATATACCTCATGTCCTTTAACCTTTTCGCAATGTCGCACCTTTGTGTAAGACGCTCATGCGGGACGGAAGAGAATCGAAGGCAGTCACCGTACAGGACAGAGGTTTTGTGTCGCTAAACCTAATTTTATAACAAAAATCCGAAAAACAAAAGTTTCACTTCGATCATTGTAATTTTTGGTATCATTTTAGATTATTACTTGAGGTATCATTTTAGATTATTACTTGAGGTATCATTTTAGATTATATATGTTAAAATTAGCCCTTAAAACATTTTTTTCTTTATTTTACATGAAAATATACTTAAAAAATTGCTTATCTTCTTAAATAATTTTCGAAAGCACTATTCAAATTATTCCAAAGTTTTAATTGATAAAATCCATCAATAAAGTTTAAAATTAATAAAAAGAACACAATAAAGACTATTTACAGTAAGAAGTAACAAAATTTTAAATGAAAACGAGTGTGGTAAATCTCAAAGCACAGAGAAGTATCACTTTGTAACTCTTAGAAAAAGTATCACTTTTTAACTCTTTAGAAAATGATTCAGTATTCTCATTTGCGTTAGTAAATGGTTCACTAACCATACTAGGGTATTCTTCCTCTGATAAATAGCGCCTTCTCGCCATAATAGGCTGGAGGTGAGGCTTACCTAAATAAAAAAAGAAGGAACGGAAATATGTCTGAAGGCAATGCAATACGTAAAAAAACTCCGCACAGTAACCCTAAAAGACCGTACATAGTAGAGGGAAAAAATAGAATAAAAAAAGGAATTGGATATAAATCAGATACGAGAATGTTTTCATTAGCACGCAGCGATTTAAAGAGCCCACCTCTGTTTACGCTTTCCCTCCGCCCCCCCTTGTACAGCTGATGAGTAAAATACCAGAGTCAAGCAGAATGTATCAAACTCAAGGTCAGGAACCTAAAACTGTTCATTTCAAAAGTAATGGACACAGGATGCCATCTAGTGGCCTTCAGAAAAAGTTCCACCTTAAAATGCGTATACGCATCACCCGTCCTCTGAATGCAATCTTTACTGATGCGTGGATGGGATGCCCAGGTGTAAGAGATGTTCTTAGGGAATGCGTATATGGGACGCCCGTCCTGAAAGGGTTAATGTGAAATTTTAAGGCCTCGTAGTTTGACCAGTAAATGTTTCTTAGTTTGTTACAGTATGCTTATACACAGTTACAATTGGTGCTAATTATGCTACTTGGTGACATTTCATGATTGAAAGAATAATACGTATTTTTTTTTTTTTTTTCTGGAAATTTAAAATTTTGAAGTATTGCAAAACATGTAAAAAAATTGACTGGAGGTTATCTGTTCCAAACAGCCACTGGAGTCATTTAATCTGCAAATTTACTGTTCCTTTCGTGACTTGGTTTTTTTTTTAAGCAAATTTTTGTTACAAAATGTAAGTGATAATTATTTATGTTGATGTACAATTTCTATTCGTAACTACTTTATGCAATATGGGATGATGATATGAGAAATAACAAACATAATTCATTAACTATGTAGTAATATTTCATGTGAATGTAAGATCTATAATCAAATTATTAAGGGTACCTGGATAATTTGACGATACCATGCTCATATTAAAGTGGTGTTTTAGAAAATCCAATGTGTTTTCTTTTCTTGTCTATATTAAAATATTAAAATCTTCCATTATAATAATCAATATCTATATTAAAATCTTCCATTATTGGATAATCAGTACATCTGTATCTATATCAAATTCTTCATCAGTGAGCAAACTTGTCTCTGAGTATCTCATAAGCACACTAGAGAAAAACAATTTTAAATTTTCTGAATTAGCTGATGGATGAATGTATACCAGATGCTAATATAACATGTGACTGTCCATTAATTGTAATATCGAACACACATATCACTGGTCCCTATTTCTTCTATCCTTCTGAGGTTTAAAGTGAACTGAAGTGGATTACAATCAGCAATGATCTTTTGATTTCTACAGTGATTCCACCTCTGGTTTCAACAAATTTTTTCTTTAACTCATTTAAAAATACAGTCAAAAGTCGTTAATTCGGACTCGTCGGGACTTCGGCGATTCCGGATTATAGATCATCAGTTTAAATCTGGTAAAATGGCATGCAGAAATTATAAAATTAAAAATATGAAGCCGTAATTTACGAAATAAAGAAAAATTATGATCTAAAGGGTATCAAAATTTACAAAAAAAAAGCTTAATATTTATTTGTTTACTTTATTAAACGTTTCTTTCAATGTAAGTTGTTTAAGTTGCTTCGTTTTTTTATGTGATAATACATTCTCTTTAATTCTATAAGCAGACATAATTTCTTGTTCAGTTACAAAGTTCTGCTGTTCAAGTCCTATAATTGCTGTGTCGAGAATACCGACTCATTTGTCAATCGAAATTTTTTCGTTTTCAATAACCTCTGTTACTTTCTTCGCTATCGGAAGCGAATTATAATGACGAGGCATTTGATTTAAATCCTATCAAAGACGAAGTCGAGATGAAATACTAAATTGAGTAAGCAATTATAAGCCAAATAAAATAAAAACATCTGCCCTTAAGATAAGGATAGTGCTGACAAATCAACTTCCAATTCATTGTACGCCGCTGCGGCGTTAAAGATAAACAAAGTTTAGATAAACAAACGTTAAAGTTTAGATAAACAAAGGACATGTCTTTATCCATTTTTTGCAGCAATTCCACTTTTTGTTTAATGGACACCAAAAGATACTTTCGCTTTGTATATCCTTTACATATTAGTAAATATATATCGGAAATTCTATTTGACATAATCGAAAGTTCAAGCTTACTTTTATAAAATTGCTCTAACAGTCTGCAAAAATAATAATCCGGATCCAATTCAAAGATTAAGGAACAACGCAATCTACAACATTAACTGAAATAGATAATTAGATAATTTTAGCTTAGCTTATCCCGTCCGTTATACATTAAACGCGCATTCATAAACGTATTTTGCGCATACGCAAATTCGCAACGGTAGAGGTCTAACGCGCATGCGTCAACGTGACGCATGCGCAGAAAGTTTGTAGCTTTGAGGTCCGGATTATAGATCATTCCGGATTATGGGTGTCCGAATTAACGACTTTTGACTGTATTACTAATTTCAGTGAAACGAAATTCACAAACTGTATTGCCATTCAGGATCATATCCAGCAAGTAACTGAGCCAGAGCCATCGATCAGTCGTGAATGCATCCCTCGAGGAGAGGGGATGCAAGGCCCTCACTGTGCATGTACGCAGCATATGATATCATCAAAATTCCTGTGATTTTTGTAAATTTTATCGCTTAGCTGTGGCTGAATTGCAAATTCTAAAATTCATTTTGCATTTTGTAGTGTACACCTTCATCTGTGAAATGAAATTTCAGTCAATTCTTTGTATTTTGTAGTTGCAAAGATCTAATCATTTCTATAACCTGTAAATCTCATATTCTTGTCTGGTGGAGAGCTTTCACTCAGCTGCTTGCTGGATGCGATTTGAGAATGATTGTACGGTTTGTGAATTTTATTTCGCTGAAATTAATAAAACTTTAAAATGAGGAAATAAAAAAATTTGTTGAAACCACCGAAAAGCAAGTGATATGGCTGCCTACAGGAATCTTAAGAGCATTATCCATTGCAATTCATTTCAGTTTACTGTAAATCTTTGAAAAAGGATAGAAGAAATAGGGGCCAGTGATGTATGTATGGTCGATGTTACAATTTATGGACAGTTGGGTTTTATATTGGCACCTGTATCTATTCATTCATGATATGTTAATTCAGCCGATTTACCATTGTTTCTCTTTAGTGATGAGATTCTCTATGAGATATTCAGAGTCAGGTTTTCTCATTTATGAACAGTTTATTATAGGTATGGTTGTACTGGTTATTATGACAGGATATTTAAATATAGACAAGAAAAGAAATTAAAACACACTGGATTTCCTAAAACAATGCTTTAATCTGAACATAGTACCTTTGAACAAACCTAGAACTCTTAACAACTCGTTTATAGATCTTAAATTCACACAAAATATTACTACCTACTTATTGAATTATGTTTGTTTTCTCTTGTATCATCATCCCATATTGTATAAAATAGTTAACAGAAATGTATACAAACATGAATAAATATTATTTATATTTTGTAACAATTTAAAAAAAAATAAGTCCTGAGTCCCGAAATGAACATTAAGTCTATGCATTAAAACCCAACAGCCGTTTGGAACAAAAAGCCTCCCATCTTTTTTTTTTTTTTTTTTTTTTTTTTTTTAATAGAGTGATTTTAAAAAGTGAGTTTAGAAGAAGCATCATTATTTGATGCTTTGTTTTCCATTTTCATTACTGTTGTTCAAAAATTTTAGGATGAGGGAAAAAAGTAATAATAAGCCATTAATATTATATTAAAGTTTTTTTCCATAGTTTCTTTCTTTTTATATAATAATGATCATTTAATAGTAATTGAAGCCTGAGCAAAAATGGATATATAATGATCAACAGTAAAAGTTGTATTTCCAGTTTGAAAGCAAAATAAGTGAGAATTATTTTCTTCTACTTGCAGTTTAAAGAAGAGCTCAAAATTTCTCAAACAAGATTTCATCTTTTCCAAGTCAGAGAAAGGACTTTGCAAAAATAACAGCTTATCGTCTATAGAATTAGATATTATGAGAAAGAGAAAACTTTCATCAAATCTTGTGACTCGATCATCTTCGGCTCCAGATCCTGTGAAGAAAAGTGATTATTTTTCTGGCAGCAAAGTACTTTCTGTGAACGGTATGTTAAATTCAGTTTTCTAATTTAATCTTGTATTGTTATAAGATTATTTAAAATTAAGCGAGATGTGATTTCTTCTCTTTGCATGAATGCAATGATTTGAGGCTGTTTGGCCCTCTTTACAGAAAAAGCTTGCATGCATGAAAATGCAAAAAATGCCAGAGTAGGAAAAAAAATGTGAAAATATATCTATTTTTAACAGACTGTGAATAAAAAATGGATTCTAATGCTACATTGCTATGAGATATGAAATATCACTAATTTTAGACCAAATGTTAAGGTAAAACAAAAACTTAATGCGATTTCGTATGAAAACACAGTTTTAGCCATTTATGTGGATGTTCGTTTTTATTGATACTGAAATTTTATACCGAAAAATAATTAGCAACAAAATCTTTTTGAGAATAAGGTGAAGAAAAGCATACAATAGGGTATACGAATATTTAAAAGGCAATATCTAAAAGGCTGCATGATTAAATGCAGAGCAATGGAATTACCATATTTGCTCCGCTCCAAAACATACAATTTGTTGAGGAATTAGTCATAACAACGATAAAAAAATTACTGATATGCAAAAATGTTTTTAACTATAAGCTTTGTTCAGAATCAAAATAACATTAACCTCGTTTTCCAAAAATAGATAATGCAACTGATAAGAAAAAATTAAAATTTGAGTCTCAAATTCTGAATATGCAATGAGCAGCAAAAATATCTACAGAGTGCTACATATAGATGATGTTTCATAAATGGTTCACATTATGAAGCGCAATTAATGAAAAGAATTTTGGTAACCTAAAGGAACATAATAAAATAGAATTTTGGTAAAAGAAAATAATAAAGAGAATTTTGGTAATCAAAAAGAACACTTTCCTAGAAATCAATAAAAAATTAGATATTTTGTCTTAAAAGATTAAATTTAATAAATTACTATATTAACTCGAATATAAGCACTCACCTTTTTTGTCTACATTTTTTATTCTAAAATTTTGAAGGTTCTTGAAAATGAATATTTTGATAGATAAAATTATAGAATAAGAGAGGAAGGAGTTTAATTACTAGTGTCAGACTATGTAGTGTGATTTTGCTATCTAAATACTAAATAAACCACAGATAACTGCAGTATATATAAACTGTGTAACTAAACCTAATTATAATAGTCATATCTAGCTGAGTGATTTCAGTTTAGGCTTACATCCATTATACTGGTCAATGGTATGCTCTATAACAACATTGTGTTGCTGATGCTTCCTAATTTTTTTTTCAGTGTAATCTTCAAATATTTAATTTAATCGTGTAGCTTACCTTTCAGTCCAATCAGAATCAAACAGGTTCTACTCAAAACTATAGTTTAATCAAATAATCAGCTACATTCTCATTTATTTCTTAACATTTATCCTAAAATGTAAGGAGAGTCTTATATATGAGTGGCTTATACATTCGAATAAATTTGGTAATATAGTAAATTAAGCAAGCATCAGTTTTTCTAAGCTGAGAGAATCATGGATATTGTTGAGGAAAATCAAATGTATTAAAGAATCACAAATCACATTTATCAGTAGAATAAATAAATTTAAAAAAATTTCATGATTGGTTTTAATTTCTGTATAAGTTGCTTAATGTGCACTTTAAGATAATATCAGCATTTCAGAATGGAAAAAAAAAAAAAAAAAAAGTTTTTAATTCTATATTTAAACAGGAGTTCTATTTTCCTTTTAGTAAATTTATAAGGAAGTGTTGCATTTCTGCTCTCATGGTGTAAGTAGCTAGCACATCCATCTATTATTGAAAGATCCGTTGTTTGAATACCTGAGAGGCAACAGTTAGTTTTTTAATATTTCTTAACCTTAAAATTGTAAGGTTCTCTATAGCATACACGGAAGATTTAAAAACATGAGGATCCCTTATGTCGAGTTTTGAGATTAAATTTAGGCATTTCAAATGACCATGAACGATTGAATTCGATAAATTTAATCTCTCAGCAATCTCACGAGTAGTTATTTTCCCGGTTTGCAACAATAAATGCCTTTTTTGTGCCTTCATCAGCTTCATCAGCAAAAATGGGGTGCACCTTATACGCCGGTACTCAGTTCATTTGGGGTTAGCATTTCACAAGTTTGTGAATAGGTCAAAACTCCTTGGGATGCTGCGAAAACAGAGACAGTGGTTAAATCATTTAAGAAGTGTGGCATTAGTAATGTGCTGGATGATACAGAGAACAATATGTCTTATGAGGACTCAGATGCTGATTTAGAAGAGGTTTCAATTGACTCTTCATTTAGCTCTGGAGATGAGTGTCTGGGTTTTGCCAAAGAAGATTGAAAGGTGTTCTTTTCCAGATAGACTGGGTATTTGAAAAAAGTATTACTTTGTATTTGCATTACTTTATATTTAAAATACTGTAAAATCATTATAATGATCAGTAATAAAGTTTTATCCTTCAAAAATGTGTATGAAAAAGGGGGTGCATCTTATACGTCACCGTCTTATACACCAGCAAATACGGAAGTTCCGTTTGCTGCTAACAGATAGTGCTATTCAGACGGTTAATATTGTAAGCCATAAAACTTTTCAGCCAGACCTTGTATATATGCCCTCACAAAAAGGTTTTAAATTATTATTAACAATTCCCTGACTTCAAAATTTTTTGCACTTGTTTGATTCTATTCACATAGTACTTCATAACAAATAAATCACTGCAAGCAGATCTGCCATTGCAGATAATTCTTTATGGAAAGATGATATTTAAAGAAATTAAAGTTGTCAGATCAAGAAGCCCCAACTTGTCAGCAAACTGTGGTACTGACTGCTACATAGTGTGAATTTACACAGAAACGTAAGAAGGGTTTAAAGCCCTTTTTATTCAACTTTTAAAATAACAGATGCGTCCACTTGACGCTCACAAACTACGCTGACCCGGCAGTTTAACTGAAACACAACGTAGAACTGAGAAATAATGACTGGATGAATAAATAGCGAGATCACTATCCACGAGGCTCTGAGATCTTAAACTAACCTAACCACGTTTTAAATTACCGCTGAGATTCAGCGAGCTTACTGATAAAGCAGTTGAGAGATCTAGCAAAATCTGCCGAGCTAGGCACACAAGCCAACACGCGCGGTTCTAAATTTCTACCGAGCAATATTCACATTCGCAATTCAAGTAGCACACCTACAATCTCTTTTCCTTTCTATTTAAACTCAACTTACTTCTGCTAAATTTAAATATACTGCGCACTACTACAATTTACATACTCTAGCACTGGCAATTCTAAGGGAAAGTAAAGGCTAGACAAGAAAGATAACTTAAAATAAATGTTAGTTAAAATAAATATAAACCCTACAAAGTAATTAAATTAAATGTGCCAACAAGTAAACAAAGCATCGACAGAGCAATCAAAACAGAACATCAGAACTAAAAAAATTTGAAATTCGGCCATCAGAACTCAAAATTTTCCGACTTTAAAATGGGTTTTAATGACAAATTGTTGCAACAGATATTGTTACAAGTAATATATTGGTTCCCCCCCCCTCCAATGAAGGGTTTAATTGTATTTTTTCACAGCCAATTCACAACATCACATCCATGTCCCATAATCCTTATTTATTTTGACAGCTGATATAGCTAGGTTTAAAATAGAAGAGAAACACGACAATGTGACAATCAAAATCGCAATAACAACCTTGTATTTATCATACATATATTAAAACAATCTATTTCGAGGGCAGCTAAAGGTCCCTCCTCATCAGGAAAATGAAATTACTAGAAAGGGAAAAAAGAAGAAAAATAAAGCATTGGCAAAGGAGTCTCAGAAACACGTGGTCGTTATCAGCAGTGCAGTTAGTCGTAACCGGGTTTTGAATCAGAGTTACACTGGCCACCTACTTTTTCTGAGCCAGGCTATCTGATCAAACATAAAACACATAAACTAAAATGCAAAAAAAATCAGCCAAGTCAAAAAATAGGGAGCGAGGGGCAATTGCACCTTCACGCACCAAGTCTGAACTTTGAATAAAGGGAAAGCAACCTCTGTAATGGTTTTTTATATCCTTCGGTAGTACCAAAAGCAAGGAGGTAATGCCATCTATCGGCAAAAATAATAACCAAGAATTATATTAATAGAATTTTAAAGGTGTTAGGGAGGACTGGATTGGACTTAAAATCATTCACTAAACATACTAAATCCTTGTGAATATGAAAAGCCTCAAGAAAATGCAATTTACCAACGGAAGAAGCCTATTGGATAATTTTTGCAGATCCAAAATTAAAATTATGATTAAATTTCCAACTATGATACACTATTGAAGACTTGTTAATTTCGCCTTTTCGAACAGAAGATTCATGTTCCTTGATATAAAACTTTAACGCTCTTTTTGTTTGGCCAATATATCTCAAGCCACACTGACACGATATACTACAAATTCCACGATATACTACAAAAAAAAGTCAGAAACGCAATCTTTTAGAAACGAACCGTGAATTTTATTGATAGGGGAGAAACTGACTTGAAAATTTAATTTTTAGAGAATCCATGCAACTTTATAACTAACAGAAGGATAAAGTGGAAGCACGACAAGATCATTAATATTATTTCTAACAGTGGAACGTCTTCTTTGATGGAAATCTGAAAATTTTTTAACAGCTTTATCAAAGATCATGGGAGAAAATCCTCGATCAATAGCAACTGCTCTCAAGGAACAAACTTTGAGCATGCAGTGGTCCCTTATATTATCTACTTATGTTTCTTAGATTAACTGATTAAAATAGTTTCAAATAATTTAGTTAGGAAAGCATTTTAAAATTTATTATAATATTTGTTATATATATAGACTTTGTGAAAATTTTGTGATTAATTTAAGAATAATAAAAATTGGAATATTTTTATAATGAATAATGAAAAATACCATTTGTCATGAAAATGAGTTATAAAATTATGAATAATGATATTAAATTATTATGTGTGAAACTTAATGATAAGAAGGATCGATGTAAATGAATTAGG